ATGCATATATGATGGGTAAAATACGTTAAACACGCTGTAACTAAAATATTATGTTATTTATATATATTATGTCATATGCTTTTTGAAATATATCGAATGTAGTCTTAAGCGTCGAAATTCGATTTTCTATTTCAGCTATCTTTAGTATTCCTACCCTTAATTTAGCCAATTTAGGTTAGGTAAGTTAAACTTTATTGTATATGGATTTATACAAAATAGTTATACGCATAAGTGGGGGTAAAGGAGATCTGCAGCACATGCTCAAATTAGGAACACGTTTACACACTTATCCAAATTCAACAGTTAGAAATCGACAAATCGATAGACTCTAAGTATAATACAATGGTAGTATACATTAACCTATAAAGGTCATTGCAGTGGTTTTCGTTTAAAAAATAAAATCTTCAAGATGATAATTATTATAATTTACTTCAAACGTCGGAACTACGAGTATGTTTTGTCAGTTACATGTTTTTTAAGCAAAATATATGACTTCAGACAATTAAATTTGTAGAGGCAGTGAAGTCGTTAAACACTAAAGCAAATATATATGTATAACCAGATTGATATTGTTGTTAAATGGATTCAACAGAGGAATGTGAAATGCCCTATTCGAATACTCTTATTTGAACAAACTAACAATCTGTATTCTATAGTCTATACACGGTTAGAAGAATAACAACTATAAAAATACAGCCGCATATTTCTTTGTGTATAAAATGTACTGTGCACGAAGGTGGATTACATCCCTCACGTAAGTATTTTTAACAATAAATTATTTTCTTGACAAAAAAATATTTTAAATAAGTACCCAAACGTCCCAAACATCGCTGTGGGGGATTGAAACCGGCATGACACGAAGGTGGTAACAAAGAGTACCCACCGGTTTCAAAGAAAAAGATAAAGTCTAAAAAAAAAAAAAAATGTATATAGTTCTGTTGTTTTCAAACAAGCAATAATCTTTAGGGTAGGTATGCGCAAACAGATATTGTTAGCAGTATAGAAAAAGATTTACATTCAACATAACTTACATAACTTGTACATATTGAGAAAAATAAAAAACACGTGCTGACCGTGACGGCTATTGGCCATTGTTAAGATGAGTGGTTCTCAGCCTTTTTATATCCGAGTACCTTTTACTACTAGAAATATTGATTTAGATGATCAAATAAAAATGTTTCTCAAAACTACGATGTAATAATTAAAAAAAAAAAAAAAAAGGAACAAAAAATAATCAACCAAAAAATAGTTACTTGTAATTGTAATTGTACGCACGCATGCGAAGGAAAGCACGACTTTACACAAGTACCAGGTATAGAGTACCAATATAGTTGCCTCGCCCGAACTATCTTTTACACTTTTAAGTTTTATTCCAATTTTATATCAGTTATTGTATAAAAAAAATAAAACAACTTCAATCTCAAAACTGTACAAATATAGTATGTTTTGTTAAATAGTATATTAAAGACATAAACTTATAGAAATAAAGTATTTGGTGTTGTTACTCGAATGATAAACATTTTTTCTATAATAATTACTACATTTTTAAAACGGTTAGTAGTATTTGCGGCTATGCTAAGAATACTTATAAGTTTTAAAGTATACAAAGCATAATATAAAAATAATAGTCTTAAATAAACTAAAATATTAATATATGTGACAATATTATGGCATACAAGTGTAATTAAACGGTATTTTTTAACGCTGCAGCGTTAAATTCATTCAGAAAAATTTCGAATAATACATAATATAATCTCTAGATCTAAATACCTAATGTGAAGTCTTGACGAATAAGCGTTGCCTGTTTTGATACAAATATATCACAGTGGCACAGTATAATACTATATTACGAAGATAGTAGAGCGTATAGGCCATAGCTAGGGTACCTACTAAACGCTTGTTGGCCGTAGCCTGCAGCCCACACCAAACGCTCGATCGGTGATGACCAACCTTTTATTTTCACGGAGGGTCATATAAAAATAAAAAAATTCTCTGCGAGCCAAGAATTTAAACTTTTTCTTTGAATTGAATGTTACATTTTATTTTAGGCACAACTTAATATAGGTATAATCATAAACTTAATTATTTTTTATATTATATTGCTTGTTGTAAAATTAAACATAAATATTAAATAAAAATAAATAGTAATATTTATTATTGTTATATATTTTAATATAAATTGTATCTATATCTATTAAAATTAACAAACGTAACATTTTTAAAATATTTTTATTTTAATTACTTTGGCGACCCAGATAATTAATTGTCACGGGCCGTACTAGATCACCACTGCGCTAGATAATCAAAAATCTGGTTTTTGGGTTTGTTACTTCGCTAGGTAATTTTTAATTGTTTAACATCTCACGCAGATCTACGTGGCCGCGTTGGTATAATACCATTACGCGCAAACCTGTTTAAGGGTGTTTCCGGGGGGTATGAATTCTTGGTAAACGTATCATGGAAGACGTACATTTTATATCGGTGCCATTGTAATCGTTATTGACACGACGGTAAGAATATAAAAAAAAAAACCAGTCCCTTGCAACGTCATCAATACACCTTAAAATTTTCGAATCTTTCACCATTGTTGACCACGCGGACAAGAGCCCCCTCTCAATACGCGGATAATAGCGCTCCTGCAGTGATGCCATCCCTGCCAATAGCTGTCACATTTGCACGGGTATAGGCGTTGTTCAATCGTTTCAATCGTTTATTTGTCCATCGCCAACAGCTCTGTACTAGTAGCTCTTCCATACGATTATCGCTGCTTTTTTTACCGTTCGTCGTCTTGTCCAAATCTTCGGTCCAGCCACCGTATAAATTATCATTATTAAATCCACACTCGCCCACCCTTTGAAATACATTAACGCTTACTACTTACATTCGAATATCAGAGGTGCGTGCAGTGTGTGACGTACGTTGCTGCGTATCTGTGCTCCTCATTCTACAGTCGTCTCCGGAGATCATTGCCATCGAACCCCGCACATAAACGGCCATTTGTCGTACACGATTTTTTCAACTTCTTCGTTTTGAACGCTTGTAAGTAGAACTTATTGATTAATTATGATACTATTAATACTTAATAATAATATTTATTAGTTAATCAATAAATTGTTTGTATCGCGTAAAATTCATAAGAATCATAAAATTACCTTCACTGCAGAGCTGTGACTTCGAGTAGCTAAATAACCTGTTGCACCACCTGCAATACACAGCCAAGCGTACATGTTATATTATTTTTTTACAAAACTGATGAGCAATCAGTACGAATAAATACAAACAAAAATATCTAATTACTGTTCCTGTCTAACGATATGATTATAGTATTTGAGTATTTATATGAGATCATTAGATGTATATTATATATCATGCAATGGTCTATAGAAATTAGTAAATTGTATTACGTTTGCATATGCTATACTCATAGACTGAAGATGAGAAGGTTTAGTGATTAGTAAATAGCAATAAAATAGTTTTGTAAATTATCGTTTTTATTTATTTAACAATATTTTAATCAAATCATATTTCATCATTTTATTAAGTGAATAATGATGTTTTATAAATAAATATCTACACGTTTGGAAAGTCAAGACTTACGAGAACTTAATTCCTTTAGAATTTACACTTAAATATACACACAGACACAGTCAAATCTCAATAAATGATAATTCGAATTTTGAAAGGGAAAGAAGTAAACTCAACTTGTGTTACTCATGATGTATTTTAAACTATTCAAGTCATACAAAATGTGCTAAGACATAAGTTAAGTAATCCTTCAACTTTCAAAAGACAAAAAACTTTGAGTTATTTAGGTTTTCAAATTACTGAAATTTGGGGTACCTAAAATATGAGAATAACGCGTTAAAATGTACGCAACGTTGCATGATGGCGCCAATTTAGATGTAGCAGTAGGTACCAATATTTAAATTGACTATAAATTATTGTCATCGTTATAATAGCACTTTTTCGTCATCATAATAGTTGAGTACATATTATATCGTATTCAGCAGTGTATGAGATTAAAGATTTTGCTCACGGTTCTATGTATTATAATTATTATAAATTACCTCACCTTTTGATATACATTATATAAAGGAATATGTTTAGTTTATTTGATTATTTAACTAATTATTTAAATAAACACATATATATATATATTCTTTATCAAATACTTATATATTTTATTAATTAACATAATATAGCATTGTAATATCTACATTTTTTTTAAATTTATTTTAAAAATAAATAATACCTATTAATATTTCACGTTTAATATATAATATATTTAATAGAATAAAATTATTTGTAAATTGTATAACATGCCAATAAAATACTTAAATACCTCCAAAATTGTAATACTATGGCACTGTGCTTAAAGTTTTTAAATAGAGGTATTCGTAGCTTATGCTTGTTTATTATATTTTGACCAATAAATATTCATAAATATATATATTATTTAAGCCGAGTTTTATAAGGTTAGATATTATTTAGGTTTATTATAATATTATTTTTACATTAAAGATAAATTAAAAATCATCAAAAAAAAAAAACCTTTCATATTTGGTCAAGAATTTTAATTAAGTATATTTATTAAATCCCTAAAATTGCTGTAATGGCAATTGTTAATATAATATATATTTTTCACGTTAATATGTTCAAATTATTTATTTATGACATATCTATTTTAAACACAATTTGTCAACTAGACAGTAAAACTTTGTAAATACTAAAATTAAAAACTAGTAAATCTCATACCAAAAACTTCGCATCATAATATGAATAAAATAAAAATTAATTATAATTTCAACCATATTTGTGAATTTTTGTCAATTCCGATTACATTTTTTAATCTTAGTCAACAACCAACTTAAAAGATTTTTAACTATTAATGAGTTTCCACTTGTAAGAAAATGCGTAGAAAAATTCATAAATATTGTGTAATGATCTCTTCCATTTTCAAATCTTATAATTATTATTAACTAAATTATTTTATGTTTAAGAAAAATCAATATGGCCAACATTCATATCACAACTGAAGTTAGTGAAAATGCTACAGATGTGAAAAGTGATTGCAATATCAAGAAAAAATGTACTACGGAAACTAATAACGTTGACTGCAATATCAATTGCGCAGGTCCTTCAAATGTTGAGGATTTTAATCTTGAACCAATTGATCAACAAAATTCTAATATCGGTAATTATAAATTATTAGCGATTACCTATATAAATAAAAATAACTGTCATAAAAAATGGTTATAAATTATAATAATATATTGCTCTAAACAATGACCAATGAAGCTTTACAGCCTTATAGGTTTCTCAGGGAATAAAAATAAAACAGAATTATTATTAGATCAATTATTGTTATAGGTTATCGTGGTCCTAGCACTAGTAGAGGTCCTAGTACTAGTAATGGTCCTAGCACTAGTAGAGGTACTAGTACTAGTAGTGGTCCTAGCACTAGCAGAGGTCCTATAAATAGTCTTGAACAGAAGAAAAATAAATCGGCTAACATTCATTTATATTTTATAAGAATTCATTGTATTTCAAATAGCAATAAAAAAGTGAAAGTAACAGTACATGGAATCAATAAAAATGAATACAAAAAAATGCAAACATTATTGGGGTATAATGGTATCCATAAAAGACTGTCTATCAATCTATCCAAAATTAAGTACAATAAGATCACTATAATACAAAAATATGTAATACCAATTTTGATGGGCGGAAGAGATATAATAGCCAGATCACCATCCGGTTTAGCCGGTTCAGGAAAAACTGTAAGTACTTATAATATAGTATAGAAAATTTAAAATTGCCTATTATATCTACTTTTGTTATACCGAGTATTTTATCAAGCTTTTAACCACTTTTCAATTAATAATGAATTTATTCAAAATCTGTTGTAAAGAATTTTTAAATCTACTTAAAACCCATATTTTTAAATTCTTAAGATTGTAGATATTAAAGAAGTGTCCAATGGTCATAAACAAACTTCTGTTACTTAGTTTAATTACATGATTTTATTGTGTATATTGAATTAGTTAGTAAAATATATATTTATGTTGTTTATCAGACAGCTATTGTTATATCAACACTGAATTGTTTACTTAAAAATCTGACTGCAATAAATAGCGACGGTTATCATTCAGATCCATCTGCTGTATTCATTGTACCCACGAAGCAACGTGTTATACATATATATAACGTTATTAGTCGACTAAGTGAAAAAACTCCAATTAAATATGGGCCCTTATTTGATATAAAATCGATACCCAACCAAAAACGGATAATACAGGTAAAATTTATTATAATTTTATTAATTCGTTTTTTTTGAAACATTTAATACATAATTTATATAATTTAATTTCGTCTCTCTTGCAGAACGGTGTTCATATTGTCATTGCTACTCCGGAAAGCTTATTTGGTTTTGTAAATCGTGGTTGGATCACTTTTACTGCTTTGCAAATACTTGTACTTGACGAAGTCGATTGCATGTTTGAAATGGGTTTTAAACCGGAAATTGAGTTTATACTTAACAATCAAACTATGGTATCGAAGGTAAATATAATTCAATTATTTTAGTAAGTATACTTAAATAATATTATAACCTATAGGTAAAAATAGGTACTGTTACTAAACTATTTCCATAATCCTTACACAACGTGTAGTTAACCCGTTACTACTACAATAAACCGAATGGTTAAAAATATTCAACAACTGTCCTATAGGTCAGGTGATATTTAATGAATTATAAAACCATTTTAGATGACCTACTGTATTAAAATAAAATTGGTAAATAATAAAAACAATTCTGAAAACCAACCATTCGGAATATAGTTTAATATAATTTTTGTATTAAATGAATAATTATTTAAAACTTTTCTGCATTTAATCGAATAGATATGTAGCTACTAAAATACTATTTAGGGTTCCCAACATTCAAATTGTGCATTTTTTTCATTTAGAATTTACAAAATTACTATTTTGTTAGCAAATGTAATACAAATAATTAACTTTAAAAATGATAACTTATTTTTAGATTTTGATCGGAGCCATTAATGTAGGTATTGGTTTCACATTAATGAGTGTTTTTTTTTCTGTATATCATCAACGTTTAGGACAATAAAAGCACTTCGATTTTCAACTTTCAACTTTGGGGGTGGTTTCAAGTTGAAAATTATATCAAGTTTGTAATTTGAGGAATTCAAAAGAATACATTTTTCAGTACTTTTCTTAATAATATTAAAAAAACAAAAAAAAATAAAAAATAAGGGAAAACGAAAATGTTTAATTTAAATAAGTTTTTAACAAAATTAATTTTTTTATTTTGTCATAATTCAAAAATAAATCGTAGGCACTTAACATTTTTAATAAATTAATTTTTACTTTATACTATCATTTAAATTATCAGATAGTATAATTTGAAAAATGTACCTACTGATCATTTTTTACGATTAAATGACTATTAATTTACAGAATGTAGGTATTAAAAATAAAAAGTTAAAAAAAATTAAATATTGAAAATTTTAATTTCTTTCTTAATTTTTAATAAAAATAATTATTTTATCAAAAAACTTGATTACAAGGTTGCTTATATAAATTGTTTTCAATAGAAATTGAAAAAAAAAAGATTAACGTTAATTCGCAAAAATTTATTATAAGCATTGGAAGTTAAAACCATGTAAATGAACATATTATTTGAAAATGTAATATAATAGATTTATTAATAAAGTCTTTCAACCAATAATAAAAAATAATTTTACCCAAAAGTAAAATTAAATTTTAATTTAATTGGAAATAAAAACATTTTTATTGCTTCAAAATTGATGATATTGAAAATGATTATACAAGCAACAGTATCTAATATGAATAATAATAAAAAATATTGTGATTAAATAAAAATAGTTTGAAAATAAAATATCGTTTTCTATGTTAAATAAAATGTATAAAACATTTTGACTCTTTTTTAATTTATTTTATAAATATTTGTGTAATTTGAAATTTTTATAAATTTCAAAATAATCATAAATTGTTGTTATGATTATATACAAAATTATTCAAAATACATGTATGCACGATTTATTTTTAAGAGTATTTGAAATTCAAGTTAAAACAAAATTCTTCAAAATTATAAATATTTTGCAAATTATTTTGTAATTGAAAATTTAAAAAATGTATAATTTTTTAACTAAGATTTGAAAATTTAATACGAAATTCTTGATATTTAATTCTTATTGAAACCAAAAAATATAGAACCATAATAGTTTTTCTCTATCATATTTTGATCGTGAATAAATTTATTAAAAATTCCCATTAATTATTATATGTGTTGATTTTTTATTAAAAAAAAAATTTAATAATAATGGTACAAAAAAAAAAAAAAAAAAAAAAAAAAAACGGAAATCATTAGTTTTCAAGATGTAGCCTTCCAGAATTCGTGTTTTTAATTATACACTTCAATATGTAAACGGAATTGTAAAAATTGTCATCATAGTATAAATATAATTGAATATAGGTACATAACAGTATAATAGAAAAAAAAAATGTTGACCCTATAGTAGTAGAGTATACTCAAAAAAACAAAAAATTACGAATTTTAGGGAGCTATAACTTGAAAACTAATGATTTCGATAGATTTAATTTTTTGCTCCATCGTAGGTACTTATATAACTTATTAAAGTATAAAAATATTTCAAAAAAAAAAAAAAAGTCAAAACAACACGCCCCCCAACCAAATTGAATATGTTTCGAAATTAGCAAGTGACTATATATTTTGATAAAAATGTAAATTTATTTTTAGGACAAAAGAACAACAGCTGTGTTTTCGTCCACTATGACCAATAGTGTTAAGCAATTAGCAATGATTTATCAAAAACCGGATTATGTATCAATAGATATGGAAGAGATAATTGAATCATCTAGGCCATCTACTACACTAGATATATTTAATAGAAGATAAGGTACCCACTAAAGTTTGGGAAAAGACATGCATTATTGTATTTGTTAAAAGAAATTGATGAATAAATTAATTTCTTTTTTTTTCTCGAGTTAAATAGGTATAAGGTATATTGATAACTATAACTTTACTTTCTTAACGTTGATTAAACTCAATTAAATAACTCGCAAATAAATTTTTTTTTTTAAATTCTATTTTTCTTGGCCTTTGATTTATTGTGAGCACATTTAACATAAACCTGTTGTTTATTATTCGTAAATTAATGTATAATTAATTTATACAAATGTAAAAAAAAATTGTTTCTAAAACTATTATTTACCCAACTGATTTATTGAAAAATAAACTATTTTATATACTTATTCAGTATTTTTATTATTAAGGCCAACATTTAAATCCTAGAAAAATAAAATGATCAACTGATGTAGCACTACTGTCCACTATTTAGGTACCTACCTTCTTGATAATATATTTGTAAACAAAATAAATTCATTTAAAAAAGTGTAAATAAAATAATACCTATTAGGTACATACAACTATAAGCCAATCGGGCAATAATAGTTGGTACCTATTTCAATATATTTTATATATTTTTATTTTAAATATAAGCCGGGTTGCATTAACAATTACATAACATTTGTAAATTAAAATGAATCAATAGTGAGCTATTAAATTAAAGCTAATTAACATAGTAAGTACAACATAACCCATTAAAATGAGTCCAAACAATATTACATTAATTATTACTTGGTCTACCAAAATGTAGTCAGCCCCATCGGATATCGTGTTGTACTTGGCAACTCGCTGGTTCTATTCGAGCCTGGTCAATATGACGTGTTGAGATAATAAATACTAATTAATAATTATACCAGTGACCAGTAACAACAACAAACAACATAAATGATAAAACTTAACTAGATATCTGAAATGTAGTGTTGGATATTTATTTCATATTTTAATACCGCGAATGTCTACAAATGTGCAATCATAGTAACAATTGTCAATAATCTCTAAACATTAAAAAAAAGCAAAATCTTAAATTAATGAAACATGGTTTCAAAAAAAAAATAAAAAAATTAGTGTTTATAAATAAGATTTAACCCAAAAAATAGTTGTTGTTAGTCACCCATTTTAGTTAGGAGTCAGAAGAAAAAACATGAATTTTATTAGTAATTACTTTTTTCTTTTATTTTATATATTTTGTTTTGGGAATTGAGTCCATTTGTCCACTATTTATAAGCTTGTTGCCTTATTGAATCCGATTGTGGCATAAAATTAATTCATAACATCACTATTTTGTTATATCACTATTGTGCTTTTTATGTTTTTAAAGGAAAAAATTATGGTAATCTACATTTTTTATTTTTCTTTTTAAATATATTGTTTCACAATGTCTAAAACTTGATGTGTTATTTCTGCATCAATAATCAATTTTGTTTTTCTGTAAGATATTAATAATATAAACATCTTAATACTATGTTTACCTTCATATCTAATAGTAGGTATGGTAAAAGATCAATAAAAGACTAATGTATGGTCTATTTATACAAAAGACTGATTTTCACATCTTGAAGGATTGAATTAAGAAAATTTATGACTTAATAAGATTCACAGTTTTGTCATTAAACAAATCACATAATTTCTTTTGATGTTATACTTACATGACTAAAAATACTTGTCATTTAAACCGTTTGAAATAATTCTAAGAATAGAATATTCAACACAACTCGATGTTTTCTGAATCTCGGTAATTATGATTTACTAAAAACATTTCAAGTACAATCATAGTTTCTAATGATGAGTGGCATTATGAAAGTTTTATCCTTTTTATATACATTAGAAAGTGTAAACATATGCTGCAGTACATTTTACATTATTTTTACTTTTGAGTATCAAAGCATGCACAGCAATTTGAATTATTACATAACATTATTGAGGCATGAAAACAAAATTTTAAGTCCGCTGTAATTTATAAACATACAAATATACAAATATACTTAATTTGTGTCTACAAAATAATAAATAGTACATTATAGAAAATTTACAAATATTGTTTACTCGTTTATTGTTGATAGGGCTTATACATATTCTTATAGACTAAGGTATCTAATATTGTTGAATTAAAAATGGAATTAATCTAGAATATGAGTACATATTCATTCATTTCAAAAGATAAAATAATTTGACAACTAATTAAAAAAAATATTTGTACATGTATAATTTATATTATCAAAATTAATTACATTGTTATAAACCATAAGTAATATACATTATAACAATGATAACAGCATAATGAAATATAAACTTTTAACTTTTAATACACATGGATTTTTACATACATAACATAAATGTCAAAACAAATTATAACCAAATAAGGATATCAAATTTAAATGACCCAAATAAAATATATTTAAAAAACTATGCTTTTAAAGCAGATTAATTTGGAATGAACATTAATAAATCAAATATCTATTTTTAAATAATAAATCTCAGTATTTTTTTTTTCTTATGTTAATATAAGTAATTTTGTTACTTACAAATATATCATAATATTTACAATTTTAAATAACGTCAAACTGTTCTTAACATTTTAATGAGATTATTTATAACATGGTTTTAATCAATTTATTTTCAATGAATTTAATTCGATAGTCTACTAGAATTAAAATGATTATCATGTCTATTATGATTTGTTGTTGAATTGGGTTTGATGTATTCTTCCTCTACTCCTATGTCTTCGTCATCAACGTCATCTAATTCTCTATCATAATTTCCTTCTTCATATTCCAGTGCATCTTCATATTCAACATAACTTAAATCAGGATTGTTTGATCTATAGGAGTGGTAGTTATTATCTGGAATGCTTTCAACGTTATAAATACTTCTGTGATTGACTAATCCAGAATGAATATCATTAACATCAACTACTATATTCCCATTGTTAGAATTTACTGGATAACCATCAAACGATTCATCCTCATACGGGGGTCTAAAAATATAATTAAAAATATCATTGATAAACTGTAATATTAAATAATTTTCATACATGTCTCAATGTTATAAATATACCAGCCAAGGTGATTTGATTTTTTTTATCAAACAACACTCAATATTACAAAATTTATAAACAATTTTAATAATATTTTTTATTGTTGAGTTTTTTTCTAAGTTTTTTATTTGTTTGAACATCATCATACATTTATAATTTTAAATTTTAACACATTAACCGCCATATGACCGCCGGCGGTCATCTATAATACTAAATTCTCAAATTTTATACATTTGTGACTGCCAGCGCTCATAATTAATCATTACTACTACACCACATGACTGCCGGCGATCATAAATGAATTTAGTTTTATATTATTAACTTTTCTATGGCGCTACAATAATGCACCAAAATAAGGACTGTGGCATAGCAGGAATTATTACAATTTTTTTGATATAGGTATAATATATTATTTTTTTTTTTCAATTTTTCGTAATATTTAGTGTATATAAATTTGGAAAACTGAAAAATATGTTTAGCGTATAACAAATACTTATTAATGACCACCAACGGTCATATGGCGATTAACTTGTTAAGGCAGTATGTTTTTCAAAATATTTCAATAAATAAAAATTGAAATTTGAAGTTGTTTATGAGTTTACAGCTTAGGTGAGCAGAGTAATAGACCAACATTAACATTTTACCATACCACTCCACTTCGCTCACCTATGTTTTAAATATTTAAAACTCAAAAAATAGTGTAAAAGTTCAATTTTTATCTATCAAAATACTCTGAAATATATTTTGCTTCAAAATATGAAATAATAGAAATATTAAAAAAGAGAATAATTCTCAAAATTGCTTAGATTTAGAAAATGCGTCTTTATTAGTTCTAATGCAATGTTTTCCAAAAGGTGTACCGTGAAAACTTGAACTTTATAAAAATACCACTTATAATTAAAAAGTAGATAATATTTATTCAGTGTGCCGTAACTTATAATAACTAATACTAATGTGCCGTGATGGAAAAAAGTTTGAGAATCATTGTTCTAATGTAAAACAATGATATCATTTTTACTTCTAAATTATTAACCTAGGAAATTTCAGTAAAATAAACATTATTTTTATGAGTATGACAGCTTTAATATTAAAACAAAATAGCCAATTACCAAAGTTGAAGGTTAAAACATTATCAGTATGAAGCGTTAACATTTTTTTAAGATATTTTAATTTTTAAGCTAAACATGAGCATTTTTAGTTTTTAATGATTTACACACTCACATCTTACTTAAAAATTAGATACTATTTTATTACTAATAATATTCTAACCTTTCTAACTTAATAATAGGTAAATTCAATTTAATATAAAGACTAATAAGTAACAACACATTTAGGTATGGTGTATCTTCTAAGGGCAAAGTTTATTTTTTTTCTCCTTACATATAGTTAAAATCTTGTCATCCACTAGTCAAATTAAAAAATATTAAAACCATATTTTATTCATTACAACAATTACCCAAAACTATTTATTTTATTATATTTTTAGAAAATATATTTTTCTTAAGCATTTAAAATAAATATTTAGACAGCAATGGATATTTAAAAATTTAATGATACTATATCTTAAAGGAATTTTTACTATTTTGTAATTATTAAAAAAAAAAAATAGTCATAGAAACTAACCACGTAACACTATTATTTAAGACATCTCCGTCTTATACACAAACGACATAGTACATTTATGTTCATTAGTGTACTTTTAAGTTTTGATATTAGAGTGAATTGACTTATTATTAAACTTTTAGTTAAGAGCATTAAGTATTTATATATTTTATACTCTTAACTCACTTAAAAATTAAAATATTGTAAAAACCAACAAGATCTTAACACAGATAACAGACAATGTTATTAACTAAAAATTTGATAATAACCTTACTTTAATATCAAAACTAAAAACAAATTATTGAAACTGGTGAACGGAAATTTACTATATTGTACGTGTATAAGATGGATACAACATACGCGAGTGCGATATCCTTTTAAATTACTATTTTCTATATATAGCAAAGTTTATAAGATATTTTAACCAATTTTAAGGTAGGTATTTATGTTTACTAAAAAGTTTGGAAATGTTTAAATAAAACTTTGTTTAATTATTTAAAATCTGTAATATTTAGTATCACTATTTTTATTTTGTAATTTGATATATAGAATATACTAAGCAAATATCTATTAAACTCACATTGGATCTTCTATGTCATCTTCTTGCTGTGCACTTCTTTGGATTTCAGTATATTCACCTTCGTTCCCCTCTAATGTTTTCTGGTAGGTTCGAAAATTATCTTCGTCTTCATCATAATGATCATTTTCATTAAACTGTCTGTCTACCTCTTCATCTGTACTATCATAATAACTTCCCTCCTCGTCTGTCTCTTCAACATAGCCATGATTATACTCTCTGTTGACTCGAGCAACACGATTATGCAATTTATATGCAGGATTTGATTGATGATGAGAAGTTGAAGGTTTAGGATTTGATGAATGAATACGATTTGTTGAGTTTGGTATATCATGTGTATGAATATTTTTTTGATGAGGATTTTGTGGTATTTTTATAGGAGGGTCAGTAAAATTAAGAATTGGCAATTCTACACCTTCCGGTAAAACAGATCCTCGCTCTTTCATCCTTTCCTTTATAATAGTTTGTAGTTCTCTTCTTTTTTGGCAATTTTTAGCAACTTCATCAGTAGAAAACCAATTTTCTAAATGACGAATCGGTAAAGTGTAGTCTACAATCGGCCTCTAAAAATATGGTAAGATTTAGCCTATGCATTATAATACAACATTAGTAAACTTACATCAAAAAACCTTTTAAAACAATGAATTGTAAAAAGGCCACAATCAGTATAATTAGGTTGCTGAGGCATTTTAACTAAAGATCCTTTTATAGTTTCAGGACTAAAGTCTTTTTTTTTGTCATTGTATTTAGCAATATATTCTTGTTCTAACCAATCACGTAATGTGGCTGTGATTCTAGCACGACAAACACCACCAGAGAAAGAATCAAACAATAAAATGCAAGGCCTAAGAACAAGTAAACTTTAATAGTAACAATAGTAACAATTTATGATTATGATAGATAAATTTACCGTTTAACTAGTATATTTCTGTTTTTCTTTAAAACCGCAACATCAGTATCATAATCAACTCCACGTTTATCTGTATAGTTTTGCTAAAAAATATTTATACATCAAATTAAATAATAACACAAATGATTCATGTCGAGTTTTAAAAATATAATTTTAAGATATTAAATGATCTAAATGTTTTATAGAATAAGATTCTTACAGTTGATGCCAAATCAAATAACCAAAGATCTTCAACGTTAGGATCAGCTTCAATACGATCAGCAGCAGTAGATTCAATTTGCTGCAGTTTATATCGGCCTATAATTTTAAGAATGTGTTCATAATAATTAACATTTAAATATTTAAGCTTTAAAGTAAAACAGATACTATAATATTAAGTTTTTTTTTTTTATGTATTCAGTGTTATGTCTTCAAGAAGCTTTATTTGATCTCATAATTTTAAAATCACTCATTACAAAAATGAAGTATTAAATTATTAATTATATATTTTAATTTTAAATATTTACCATAATTATCATCAGGTGCGTTCACTGGTTTTCCATCTTTTATATTAACTTTACCTGATAGGTAAGGAAAGCATATAACTGCCATAAACCAATGATAACTAAAAAAAATAATTAATTTGATAATAATTTTAAGTTTTATTTTAAACAAGTAATCAAAAGTTATATTATTAATATATTAATTCTTACTTTTCATTTATTGGTATAAAAATAAAATCTTTCTTGAATATGTCTACATTTTTAGTCCACTTTTTTACTTTTTCATGTCGTATCTGTGACGCCGTGAAATGTGATGGATAGTCAGAGGTATTAAATGATTTCGCAAGAGTTGTATAAAAGTATGTACTAAATACATACGTTCGGTTTCTATCTTCATCACTTAATTTTTGACTATACCAATAACTATAATGCAAATATTATTATACATAACATAATTTTTAATAATAATTAGTACAAAATTTGAAGTAAAATTACTTACTCTAAGTAAAATTCAATAAGAATATCATTTACAAATTCATTTGAATTCAACATTCTATAATCACATATTTTGATAATTGCAGATCTCTCACCAAGTTTATCTTCAAGTATTCTAGAAAAGAATAAAGTATGTTTAAAAATAAAATTTAACATATTAAAAAAAATTCAAACATACGTAATACTATTAAATTTTCTTTCAGCTTCATCTTGTTCCTCTTTTGCGAGTATTTTACTCTGAAAATTTAATTAAAAATATTTTTAATTAATATATTATAAATTAGTTAAATGATGTAAATATGCATTGAACAATTACATTTAAACATTCTTGGTAAAATAAATATGATATTTTTAGTTTGTTTTAAAGAAGACTAACTTAACATATAAGTTATTTTCTGTCTTAAAAGTACAAACATAACAAAATTACATTCAGCAAAATCATTATTGAGAATTCTGGTACAATGATCAGATATATTACTTCAAAAATTGATTTAATATAAAATATCTAAGCAAATGATTTTAATTTACTTTTTCTAAATAATAATAAATTACAAAGATTAATTTGAAAAGTAAGATAACATTTACTTAATTTACCGATATAATGTGGTTACTTGCATACACGACTACAGGTGAGAAGAAGAGTCCACATCAGATAGTATTTTTAGCAATAATAATTATCATTAAAGAATAGTTATTATAATAGCTGTTATCAAACATATATTAATAAATCATTTTCTTTTTTAAACAATTTACCATTTCAAAAGGTTCAAATTTAATTAATTTTAATAATATATATGAATTACATATATAATTGCATGAGAAAAAAAACTCAACATTTTTTAGCTATAGCCATGTTTTAAAAATATTTGACTTTAAAAAAGTTATTTTAATTTATATTTTAGTCTATAATGTGAACTTTAAACATACCTCCTCGTCATCCTTTTTCTTTAAACAAAGAATTTTGTTTGCTTGATTAAACGTCAAAGCAGCATACTTTCTTTTAGATAATTTTAATAGTAATTTTTCCAAATTCTGTATCTCAGGTCTTTTCAAATTAAAAAACCAAACAATTTTATTAACCGTGATATCTAAAAATATAATTAGCAAAATATTAATAATAGACAATGGAAAAAAAACCACTTTCTAACCTTTACTAAGTGGGTCATACAAGTGACTTTTGTCATCTTCATTCATATTTAATAAATACTGTATGCCAACTGCAGCTAAATGATTAGTGTAAATTATAAGTAAAGGATTTTCTCCATAATAACCCAAAATTTTTACAACATTATCCATTGGTAAATCAATAGTCACTGGCTCTGGTTCTAATAAAACACATAAATATTAATTTCTACAATACAATTTTATCCTGAATTTTTGAATCAAGTAATAAGGTTACTTTTAACAAGATCAAATACACAATTATATAATAAAATAGGCAAACATTTTTTTTTTTTATATAAAATAACTATTTAACTCTTACTGAAAACCTAACTATAATTAAAGTATTAAATATAAAACATATTTTAATTCACATTTTTTTTTTCTAAAAATCAAGACGTAAATATTAGATTCTTGCCAAGCAAATAAGCAATTTATATATTGATTTTACAATGTTTTTTTTTTATGTCTGAAAACAGTTTTAACATCTTTTATGGTAGTGTTAAGGATCTAGTTGGTAATTTAAAGAAGTCAAAAATACAAAATTCCCTGCAGAACTTTTCTAAATAATTGCAAAAATTAAAAACAAAAATACAGAATTACTAACCAAAATATAATTTAATATTTTATTCTAATTAAAAAAATGGAAGATCAAATATTTAAAATTTTTTCTCAATGCTTATAAAATAGTTTTTTTTTATAAATATAGTATTGTATCATGGTATTAGAACTAAAAAGCTATTTATTGGTACTTGATATTTTTTAAGCTGTCAAAAAGTTTAAAAACTAAATACAACATAATCTAACAGTTTTTCTTAAAGCAGTGAAAAAATATAAAAATGTAGTAATACATTTGTTTTATATGCATTTGGAGTTCAAATGTTGTTATTGATATGTTTAAGATATTTAAAACTAATTTTAAGCTATTGAATATTTATACCATAAACCTATCAAACACAATTTTAAGATAATTCAGATAAAATTATTAAACTAAAACAAATCTTAGTCAAACTATATGTCTGCCCATTATAGTCATCAAATACTACAAATCAGATGTGAGTTCACCCCCCCAAACCAATCACAGATGAAAATAGTCCACCTATGGAGAAGACCCCTCCGAGATCAGGAGAGTTGGGTGAGTGTATACCAGTGATCTCAAACTCAAATTACCTATGGGCCATATATTTTTTCAAAAAAAATTAGCGGGCCAAATTTTAAGTGTCATTTTTATACTTATACACTAGAAACTAAAGACAAAATGAAGGCAAAAATACATGCAAAATCCATTTATTTACTTATTATTACTACAAAATTATCATTGAAAAAATATAATGATCGTTAACTTAAAAAAACAATTATAATTAAAATTTAAAAATAGCTTGAATGTTTGATAATTTTTATTTTTGAGCTGCACTCTTTTTATATTTTTGTTCAAAATGTATTTTTATTGCGGGCCACATATAAAGGGTTTATTGCGGGCCGTATGTTTGAGACCACTGGTGTATACCAACACTTTGGGAGAGATTATTTAATTAGTATAATCTCTCCAGTAAATCTACAATTAGTAGTGACTCTTTATACTTAAAAACTTTAGTCACAACTCACCTCAAGCAATACTAAATAATTATTTTCACCAATAATTTCATTGGTGTAATAAGATAAGGTATAAGATTTTTATAACGAGTTATTATTTAAAGCCAAATAAACAATTGAAGAGGTATTTTCAAAATTTGTTTTTGGGGTACAATAATTCAAAATTGTCTTAAAAATAAAAGCAATTAATAATTATTAGTTTAAACTCACCAAGACCTTGAACAGTCATACGTATTCCATGTAAACAAACTAACATGTCACCAGAAGGTGTCGGGGCAGTTTTAAAACTACCAATATGTACAGTGTAACACTCCTCAATTTTATAATAATCTTTAACACTTAAGTCTTTCTGCCATAACCGATCTTCCAAAAGTTTAGGGTTCACTAAAAAAAAAAAACGGATTTATTATAGTGTATCACATATAAATTATAAATATATATAAACCATACAACATAATTTGTCAGTATGTTTCTTTAAAGCTTCTTTTGTCTCAATTTTAGTAATATTGGGTTCCAAAGATTCTTCTTCATCTTCGTCTCCGGATGACAACAAAAGCACACATGGTTCCTGAGGTGAAACAGGATTTATAGAACTCAAAGGGACATCAATGGGTTTTGAGTGCATTACAATAGGACTCTCAAGAGCAACAACAGCGGAAGTACCTAATAATAATAAATTATTAAATGATTTTAAATCTTTAAGTTAAAATAATCTTACTAGGCGTTTCAATTCTTGTGACTGTAACATTTTTTAAATGAGAAGACATACGACATGCTGCACATGTCTCATCTTCTGATAAAGCTTTACACTTCAAACATTTTTTTATATCTTTAACTGATGACTGATGTGTGATTGCTGGTTTCACATTCTGTTAGTATGTAATTAATTATTAATAAACATTTAATAAAACAATTACTATAAAAATAGGCTTACATATAGATTAACCAGTTTTCTAGTAGTTGATACGAGTTTTGATGAGATAGGAAGCTGGTTACTGTTGGTTATCTGTTTATTTGATGTCTGAATATGAGTAGCTGTAGCTTTAGTATGTTTTAGAGAAGTATTATTATGTTGGTTATTAGATACATGATTTTTTAGGTCAGTTTTATTAATTGTAGAATGTTGTATTTTTGAAGACGTATTTGTTGAAGTAGATTGTTGTTTAGAGATACTTGATGATTTAATAGTTTGTTTAGATGGCTGTTGTGAGATAATTGTTTGTTTCTGTGATTTGTTTATGCCAACTTGATTGGGTTGATTTATTGAATTACTGATACAAAAAAATTATTTTATCTAAGGATTTAACTTTAAAATAACAAAATTATAAATAATGTAACTTACATATTATTTTGTCTAGTTGGGCTTTTCATAGAAATATTAGAAGTGACACTTGACCTAAACAATAAAAAATAATTTTAAATAATTGGTAATATTTAAAAAGTATAAAATAAAAAATGTACATTACCAGTTAAATTTAGAGGATTGTAAAGTACTTGAAGTTTTATGCAAACTGTCAAAATCTTCATCAGTAATATTCTATAAAAACAAAAATAGATATGTTTATAACTTCATATCATCTATTGATTAGTTACTAAATAACAAAATATATTACTCAATTACAATGACCCTATATACTACACCAATTAAAGTAAGGTTAATGATAATTTTATACAATATGATAAACTAATGAAGTGTGTCCATACATCTAAGTATAAAATTAATTTATTTAAATTTAGTATTATAATAAAAAAAAATGAAGGCATTACATTTTATATGTTAATAATTATTTTACCGTTTTTTATTGTCAGAAAAAAAATCAAAAATGAAAAATATTAACAATTTATTTGATAACCAAATAGCAATCCTTTTTACATAAATAAATAAGGTATGTATAGTTGTATATAAATGATAACACTAACCTTTTTTAAAGCTGTACCCATAGCAATTATGAGTTCATTCGTTACAAAAGATTTTTTGATTTCAAATATTTCACCGTGAGTTCGTATTTCAATTGAATCCCTATAAAATCAAATTAAAGATAATATAAAAATAACTGAATTATAAACACATTTTACTATAATATAATTCACAGTATTAGGAAACATTCAATTATCTAGTGATGTTTGAATGGATTTTCAATATATTTATGAAAAAGGACATACAAATATATCCTCATACAATTTAAATTTGGTATGATTTTCTTTTTTTGCAAGGCTATCTAAAATTCCTAATTTATAACAACTAACCAAGGACTTTGGTTCAACTGAAAAGCAATATTCAAGCTGCTGTTGACAACATATCCATCAATATGATAATATAAATATATTTCAAAACTTAAATGCCTCAAAGCATGGATCAAAACAAAGGCCACATTAATTAAATAATTTTTAAAATATAAAAACAAAAACTTTAAATATCTCTTTTTAACATAAAAAAAAGAATTACTAATAAGTATATCTTTTATATTGTTTGTGTTATTTATTATTAAAATAAGTTACTATGAATGCTACATAGTGTAGTCAAAATTATATTTATACTTGAATGAACTATTTAATTTAAAACTCACAAAATTATAATACTTATAACTATTAGAACTTTAATAAGTTCAAATTTAAGTTAACTATTTTTTTAAACTAATTTCAATAATTTATTTTCAACAGATAAAATCTAATTAATTTGTATTAATGATAGATAATATTTAATACAAGTAATATATACATTTATTGGTATGAGTATTGTTGAGGATAATCTAAATCAGACACTAGGAGTTCTTAAAAACACATCACATTTTAATATCATAAACATACACTTTATAAAATAAATGTGAACTACATAAATAGTACCTATTTGAATTACTTTCTACATTAAGAATACTAACCTTTCAATATTAATTTTGATAAAATAAAATAACCCGATAAAAATAAATACCCTAATATAGTTGTCGGCAATAGGCGGCCCGCGGGCCAAATCTGGTCAGTGAAGGAAAAATAATTGGACCACAAAAAATATTTTTTTTAATAATGCTGGTTTTTCACACATAATATATATTTCATCTATTTTATGATGTATTTAGAAATTACAATGGTGTTTATCATTTATTGCTGTTTACAATAATAGTTGCGATAACACAACAATTATTAACTAATATCTGAGTTTTTACTGGCCCTCGAAATTTTTTTTTTTTGATTTTCTGGACTTCTATAGAATTTAATTGCCGACCCCTGCCCTAATATGTTCTTTATTTTATTCATGGTATCTATTTCTATTTTAAATAGTATTGTTAATTAAAATAATTAATACTTAAGAATTTATATTTTGCACCCAATTTCACACATAATAGATATAAGTGAAAACTCTTAAGATATTGAATGAATCCTAATAGGACTTAGTAGACTTAGAGTTATCTTTATCTAACTAATGTACAATATAATGAATTCTACATTTAGAATAATTTATGTAATTTTTATTGTTTAAGATAATTTAGCCGGATATTAAATAATTTTTTTTTTTAGATATTTAAATTTTAAAATATCCATAAAAAATTTACTGAGGCTCTAAGTAATATTATTACCTTCAAATTTTATTGATAAATTCACTATTATATTAAAAATAATAGAGTAAAATATATTATTTTGAATATTAAATTTGAAATTGATAAACTATAGCATTCATTAAACATTGTAAATTAGACACTCCTCTCCATCATTAAATTTTAGTTAACTATTAAATTAATCAATATTTTTAAGCAGTCCAACAACTCATATTATAGTGTGAATTAAAAATAGATTTCTTAATTTTTCTATAAGCAATATAAATTTAAACAATTACCGGTCTAAGTTAGTAGAGTCATCCTTTTTATTGCCAATATCATACATCTTGAAATGATTATCAGAAAAGCAATACCTCCTGTGGAATCCATTCTCTTTTTTATCATTATCTAAACGTGGAGAATTGTCTTTACAATTCAATTCTGAATTGGTCGCTTGTAAATCTTCCTTTATAGATTGTACACAAGCGACTTCCTCAGTAGATTGGATTACAGCATTTGATGTTGAAGGAGTAGTTATAGCTAAATCAATATTAGCAACTGCTTTATCATTTTTCTTTAGTTGATGAGTTTTTAGTGTAATACTATTTGAAGACGACTTGTAATCTTTACGAGCATTGGTCGGTTTAGTAATTGAGAGTCTAGGTTGTTTAATTGTTCTAAAATGATGAACATGAATATTAATTCATAAATATAATTGATTGATAAAATGCATTAATTGTAGTTTTATTTAAAAAAAAATTACCGATTAGAAATTTGATATGGAGCAGTTCTTTTAGGATTTTTTTGAGTTTCCTTACTATTAGTAACCTAAAATAAATTAAGTAAAATGAATACTTAGTCAAACATTTAAAAAAATATACATAATATATAATAATCTAAAAAAAAAAAACAAAAAAAAAAAAAAACAGAAAAACCAAAAATAAAATAAAAATAGTGGTAGCGAATTAATGGGAAAGGTTCAAATAATGATTTTGTGTTTTTATTATTATTTTGTATAAGTAATAAAAAAACTCACTAATTTGTCTGGCTCACAAGGCACAGGTACAATTGAAACTGGCGGTGATACTGGTACAGCTAAATTAAAAAACATTCAACAATTTTAAATTTATATATTTTTTAAATTTTTAAATAATTATAGTAAAATATCATACTCCATGGTGGTCGGCTGGCAGCAGCTATTGGAGGTTGTTTTGGTAATGGTGAACTAGGAGTAATCGATATATTTGGATTATTGAAAATATTATGATGCATAGGCATTATAACTGGATTGGATACTCTAGTTTAAAAAAAATTATGAAAACAAAAATCAGTAAAAAGAATCAAAACAAAATTAAACTAGTAATTAAATTGGATATTCATTCAAATAGTAAATATCAAACTTTAAATAATAATACATATAATTTATAGTTAGTAATTACCATAGATACTATATATATATATATCATTAAATATTGATAATTTAATATAGTTCATAAACAGAAACAATAATCAATTACAAAATAATTTTAACCATTTTATTAAAATGATCAATAAATATAAGTTCAATAATTTACATTCATCTAAAACAACCCACATTAAAACTGAATTATACAATTTACACTTTAAAAAAATAAAATTATTATTTTATAATTTTATTAAATGTAATATATTTTATTTATTTTATCAATCAAATTATCTTAGCAAATTAAAATTTATTCACTACAAGCGGCCAGCAATTTATTTAAAAAATTTATATCTGGCCCTTTCTAAAATCCTAATAGAAATAACACTGATCTTATATACTATAAAATAGCATATAATATTAATTGGTTTAAATTTAATTTAAAATGTATTCTAAAAACATATGGGTATACTTAGTGATGTAAAAATACAGTAGTTTTTTTTTTGTATTATACTGTTTAACTTATATTACTAATATAAAACGTTTCGTATAATATTATGAGTATTAAAGTAAAGTATAATAATTAATTTTTGTGTTATACAATATATGTATTATATACATTTTATGTACCTAGTATGAAAATCTAAATTTTTTATTAAAAGATGTGCAAATTTCAAATTATACACAGTACTTAAGACTTGATTAGTCAACCAATAACTATTTAAAAATTGAAATTAATAGTAATAACTAATAACCAGGACTTACGATTTCATGCATTAGCATATCAATCTAGCATAGTCGTTATATAGAAATCCATTTTAAGGTACCATTGTTGAGTATGTTTTATTTTGTATATTTATGCATATATTTAGAGGTTTCTTTAACTATTAGGCATATTTATACTAAAATTTGATGAAAATGCAATAATTTATAATTTTGTACTATATAAAATATATGGAAATTTTAGCAACGTAAAATTATTAAAAATCTAGGATTACCCAAAAAGATGGCTCTTTAAAATTTTTTTTGTTTAAATATGCATCAATCACCTCAGTAGACCTTGAAAGACCATTTTTAATGTATACCATATTTTAGTCATACATAACTGCCATTCATTCAAGTTTGACAAAGTTCAAAAAATTCTTATTGTACAATGCAGTTTCATAAGTAAATATAAATTATTTAACCAAATATTCTGTATTATTTAATAAATTATTTTTAAGATTTTTAGATTTAAAATGGATCGATCGACTGACTAACTGGATGTTTATTTTATTAGATTATTAATGAATATTTTTTGGAATTACATTCATACAAATTAAATATAACTTTTACAAATATGAATGGAAATATTTTGTTATTCCAAAAATAACTTATAATTGCTTCTCTTATTAATCTGCATATTTTAAATACATTACTTTAGATTTTTAGTGCATATAAATACATATTTTTACAGTTTTTAGTGTATAAGTGCATACTTATTGAGGCATTTTTTAGAGCATAAACTTACAAGTTTTGGTAATAACCAATAACTAATCAATAAATATTGTAATTAAATATTTAAACATATTTTTCAATTTAAAAACAAAATAATAATAATTCAAATACAATAAATATAATTAAAAATATTTTGTAAAAATATATGTATATGTATGTATTAGTAACATATAATACTTATATTAATTTTAATAGTAATTATGCTCATTAATTTGTTGTCTTTATCAATTACAGGTAAAAATCAATTTATAATAAATTGAAATTGTAAGAAAATTGATTTATTTTCAAGTCATAGTTAATACCAGTGACCCTTTTCTTTAAACCCATTTTAATTAACAAAACCCTAAGGTACTTAGAAAAAAAATCCTTTTTATTTTGGTTTAGTAATTTAGTTTAACATTAGTGTTTGAATTAAAAAAAAATAATAATTAATGGATGCAGAAATTCACTAATAATTTTGATTTTTAACATCTTTTTATCTTAAAATAAAAATAAATTCAATTGAAAAACATTAAAAAAAGAGGTCATGTACTATCTTGCTAAAACTTAAACACTATTACAGTTAACTGTTTATAATCATTAAAATATATAAGTATAAACGTATTATATAAGTATCTATGTAAGTTATAAATTATGTACTTATATTTTGACTAATGCATTACTATTGTAACTTTGCCCACAAAATTTTAATGAAATTTATAAAAAAAATAATAATTTATGAAAACCATTTTATTATAAAACTTTTCTTTAAATTACACTTAATGTATTTTTATTTAGTGCCAAAATTACTAAATTTATGGGCTTACTGACTCTGGAGCGTGCCACAAAAAATTAACCATACGAAAAAAAAGCCTAAAAATGTGAGCTAGAGACTCATGACTTAAAAGCATTTACTCATATACAGTGTGTAAACGGTAATCAAGAACATTCAATATCTTTGCGTAGAGACCTGATATTTGAATTCTGTTTTTTTGGTAGTTGTTATGACATAAAAATACACAT